ACTTGAAGTTTTTCAATTTGAACAACTTGAAACAATTCTTATAAGGCAGATTTAGTGGTGACAAACTCTTAGTTCTTGTTTGGGAAAGTCTTTACCTCTCTTTCATTCTTAAAGGACAGATTTTCTGGACAAAGCATTCTAGCTTGAAGTTTTGTCTTGTCTCTCTCTCTCTCAGTACTTAGAATATAAGCTCCTACTCTCTCCTAGCCTGTAAGGTGAGAAATCTGATAATCTTATAGGGGCTGTCTTGTATAATAATAATTCAAAAAAATAATAATAATTCATTTTTTCTTGCTGTTTTAAAATTTTCTCTTTGTGTTTGACTTTTGATAATTATAATGTATCTCAATGTAAACTTCTTTGGGTTTAATGTACTTATGGTTCTTTGGGATTCATGAATCTGAATGTCAGTAACTTTTTTAGATTTGAGAAGTTCAGCCATTATATCTAAAAAAGTTTTCTGCCCCTTTCTCTCCTAGGACTTTTATAGTATCTATATTGCTTCTTTGTAGTGTTGTATAACTCTTTCAGGACTTTTCCACTATTTTCATACTTTTCTTTTTCTTTTTGTTCCTCTAATTGCATAATTTCAAATAACTTCTCTTTGAATTCCCTCACAGAGTCAGAAACAGTTTGCTGTTGAAGCTCTTTATTGAATTTTCAGCTCAGTGATTGTATTCTTCAGCCACAGGATTTCTCTTTGATTCTTTTTTTATGGTTTCTATTTCTTTAGTGAATTTCTTTTTGTTCTTGTATTATTTTACTGATTTTGTTTAATTGTCTGTGTTCTTTTATAGCTAACTTTCTTTTTTTTTAATTTTTTTTAAAGATTTTATTTATTTATTTGACAGACAGATCACAAGTAGGCAGAGAGGCAAGCAGAGAGAGAGAGAGAGAGAGAGAGGAGGAAGCAGGCTCCCTGCTGAGCAGAGAGCCCGATGCGCGTCTTGATCCCAGAACCCTGGGATCACGACCTGAGCCGAAGGCAGAGGCTTTAACCCACTGAGCCACCCAGGCACCCGAATCTGAGTTTCTTTAAGATGATTATTTTTAATTCTCTTTCAAGCAGTTCATGGATCTTCATTTCTTTATGGTTAGCTACTGGTGCTTTACTGGTTTCCTATGCTGGTGTCATGTTTGCTTGATTCTTCATGATTCATGTAGCCTTACATTGGTGTCTGTGTATTTTAAGAAGCTGTCACCTCCTCTGGTCTTTATAGACTGGTTTTGGTAGGTAAAGGTTTTCTGCCAGGTCCCTGGACAGTTAGGACCGCCTCTGGGACTTTGGTTGAGTGGGGCTAGAGCCAGGTTATAAGACTGCTTCTGAGTCCAGTCATGTTTATGGTTCATGGCCCTTTTACTAGGGTTGTGGACAGGCATAATTCCTCCTAGATCCTTAGCCAGACAGGAGTGCCTGAGACCATGCATGAACAGGATTGGAGCCACAGCACTGAGCTGTCTCAGAGTCTGTGGTCAGTCTGTTTGGTGAAGCATGTGCAATTTTTATAACACAAAGATGTGTGTGTTTGTGTATATGGATGTATATGTGCATGCACGGACGTATGTGTGTATATATTTATAGGTAAAAATTGCAGGTTTTGGCAGTTAAAGTTCTCCAAATCTGGGAAAATTGTTTAACTCTCTGAGCTTTAATTCCCTAATCCATAAAATAGGGTTAAATGATCTAATTCATATAAATAGCTTGTGACATTTAACAATTAGTAGAAGTTGGCTGCTCTTATTATTGTGGTTATTTTTTGATAATTATACTGTAAGGGCCTATTCAGCCAGAGCGGCCCCACCCCAGTTGAACTGCCATTTTGTTGTTTAACCCTTAAACTGTCCCTGCCCCCCTTCCCCAGGGTACTTACTTAAAAACAAGTCCCGGAAACCAGTCCCAGGTAACAAAGCCCAAATACAAGGGTGGGTCAGGCCAGGTGGAGACATCCAATCAGTAGGGGGGCGCATACCTTACCACCTTTTAGGCGCCAATTCTGACCAAGATGATAGGCTGGTTCAAATATCTACTAGGGTAAATTGTAATTCAATTGGTCACTTATGTGTGACCTAATATGACTGTGCAGCTTTATCTGTGTGTTACAATTTTATTGGCCACCTGTGCGTGGCCAGGCCCAACCACATGGCCTTTGCCCTTAAAAGCTAGTCTGTGAAGCAGAGAGAGGTCGCCCTCTCTGTAAGAGGCGCGGCCCAGAATGGTCGGTTTGATTCTTGATGCTTGGCACGAAATAAAGCTTTGCTTGACTTTCGCTTTGTATCAGTCTCACTCCTTTAATCACGGACCCATTATTGGGGGACCCAACATTGGGGACCCAACAATACTTATTTGAATAAACACATAATATAAATGTACATTTATAAAATGTAAATAATATAAATTATTTTATATCATTTTTAAAGCCCTGAATAATCTGTTTCCCACTTGCTCTACATATTTATATCCATGAAGATATTTGCTCAGTATAAACCTATACTCCAACCAAAAGGACTGACATAAAGTTCCAGGATTTTCCCCCTGAGTTCCTATAATACTTTTGATATTTTATTTTATGCATTTTATTTTATTTTATTCATTTTATTTTATTTTATTCATTTTATTTTATTATTTAATGTAATTTAATTATTTTATCTTGTTTATTTTATTTTATTCTATTTTATATTTTATTTTATTCCTACAATACTTTTTAAAATACAACAGCTAGGTTATACCTCTGTTTATTTCCTCTGGCCAAACCAGGTTATAACCCAGGTCAACATCTCATTCCAGTTAGTCCTTAGTTTAACTTATGTATATTTATTACAAGGCTGAGCACTGCTTCACAATTATATTTTTAATTAACAAAACATTCTATGAGATGGGAAACTAATTTAAGGAAGCCTCTGTATCTTAATAACATTTGCATCACAAATGACATGGTATTCTCTGGACAGAAATGATAAATAGTGATGAAGAATAGTTTTGGGAGAGAAAATATACAGTGATAATAATTAAATAATTAAACATGATGATAAACATTTTTGTTGCTCTGTACTGCCATAGGGATACTGATGACTCTTCACAGCCTGTACAATTCCCTTGTTCCCACCTCTGATTGTCCCCTATGTTCTCTACCAGTAATTCTTTTCTCAGTCTAACCCCAAAGTCTAGTTTTGCTCTGGAAACATTCCTTCTACCTCCAGATGAATAAGATACTGAGTCATTCTTTCCCAGGAGAGTTGCCAGTGTCATAACAAAGGCAACAATTTCCCAGCTCTGGAAAATGCTCTCCCCCCACCACCTCATTACCTTAATCACAGAAATGGAGGTCATGCATTCCTATACCTTGAAAATGGTTTTTCTCTTGCCACACAGATAGTTTACCCAGAAGCAGTTGGGAAACAATCCATACTCTGCTAAAGGTTTTGGGAATAAGCCAGATTCTTTAGCCCCAGGCTAAAAAATTGTAATGATGAAGAGGGCAAAAATATGGGTACAGAGGGGATGAGAAATGGGTTCCTGTTTCTCTAAGCTTCTAATTTTTAAAACAAAATGTAAAATCTAATATTCATTCTCAAAGATTTCTGATTGAATTCACAGCCTCTATACTCCCTATATTTTCAAAACTTCTTGCCTTCTAACTGCTCAGAAAGTATGATCCTTAGATAAGCAGCATTGGCTTTACCTAGGAGCTTGTTAGAAATTAAAAATATTGGGACTTCATCAATTGAAGAATGGATGAAGGAGATGTATTTTATATATGAATATATAAAGGTATACTATATATATGACCATTATATTGATAGATAGATATAAATAGATGTAGATATAGATATAGATATAGATACATATGACTATTATTCAGCCATAAAAAAGAAGAAATCTTGCCTCTTGCAACAATATGGATGGAGCTAGAGAGTATAATCCTAAGTGAAATCAGTCAGTCAGAGAAGGGCAAACTCCATATGATATCACTCATATGTGGAATTTAAGAAATGCAACAAATGAGCAAAGGGAGAAAGAGAGAGACAAATCAAGAAACAGACACTTAACTATAGAGAACAAACTGATGGCTACCAGAGGACAGGTGGAGCGGTGGTGAATGAAACAGGTGATGGGGGTTAAGGAAGGCACTTGTTGTGATGAGCACTGGGTGTTGCATTGAATTGTTTAATTACTATATTGTACACCTGAAACTAATATAACACTGTATGTTACCTAACTGGATTTAAATATGAACTTTAAACATATTAGGATCATCTAAGATTAGTGAATCAGAATCTATCTCTTTAATAGCATCCTCAAATGATTCATATTTACATCACATTTTGAGAAACACAGCTGTAATTCAAACTGTGGCAGAATTGTTAATAGGACACTCATTTACTTTCTTAGGTAAGCAAGGCCTCAGCACCCAGCACTCATTTACTTGAGTACAGGGTCGGTCTTACAGGTGGCTACTGATCCGAGTCCACCCTATCACACTGTGCGCTGTACCACAGATCACCAGAAAGTCTCACAGTGACGTGTAGCACCACAAGTGAGGAAGCTATGAAATTGGCAGTCCACTTCAGTGATGAACTATTCTGCCATCAGAGTAAGAAACTCTTTTTTTTTAATAACCTCCATGTATCATTTTTGAGTATTATGGCTGTCAAATGATGGCCAAATGATGTGAAGGCCTCATTTCATTAACTCTAAGAGGAAAGTAATAAAACTCCTACTTCACAAATGATTGTGTTAATGAAACAAGATAGTACATGCTTGGCATATATAAATAATAATAAATTATTATAATTTTTATCTGCCCTAGGTTGAGAAACTTGAGTTATGTGCTCCCATTTGCCACTAGCAAAATAGATACAAACAACTTAGTCTCATTAGTAGCTATGATATTCTATCACTGAGCACATTTATTCATCTAATAAGTAATGAGTTCCTTCTCAGTTCCAAAGACCACTGTACATGTATCAGTGCAAATTGGAAAAGTCTCAGTCTATCCTTAATGAATCTACAGAGTAGTTTACAGACCTGGAAACATAGGGGGATTTCATTTATTAACAATCCTTTGCCAGAATTTGAAGAACAATTCAGAGTAACTGAAGAACTGCCCTTTATGGGGGACTCTGATCATGTTGTGTCAGGGTTCAGGGAGGACCTGACTTCTCACTTCCTGGAGACATCTAACCTAGATGGAGAAGCCAACCTCCAACTGACCACTTCTGAGGGGCAGGAGAGTAAGGAAGAAACTAGGGATGAAGAACTGACAAGGAATGTGTGCAGGAGCATGTCAGGGATTGATGAGTGGGATGGGTTAAAAAAAGAGGTATTTTAGAGTAACCAGGGAGACATAAGAGGTTCAAAAATTTTGTGCTTCTTTTTTCAGTGTTGCCATGCACTTTGGAAAACTTCTAGTGACTTTTCACAGTTAGGCATTATTTCTAACATTGTGACTCCCCTGAGCTTAGGCCCCAAGGTTTGTGAATTTATTCTGGTTGAAAGTACAAGGATGTGTTGATGGCATAATGATGGATATCTGCCAGTAAAGATAGACATCATGCCCATTTAACAGAATTTGCTTTAGAGTTAACCAGATAGAGATGTAACTCTTGTGGATTTTACCATTTCTATGGAGAGGTTTGTATTACTTCCTAAACCTTTGTTTATTCATCTTGGAAATGAAGATTAAGGCCTATATCACTGTGAGCTTTCAGTGAACAAAGTCATATTTTACAAATTTGAAAGAGGCTAAAAGAAATAAACTGTCTTGGGGAATGAAAATGGCAATCACCCAATCTCTGACCTGGAGGAGCCGAGAGCTCGGGGCCCCACTCCTCAGTGCGCCCTCAGAGAAAAGCGCCCAATCACTCCCATCTCCTTGGCCTTTGGCTGCACTCTGAGCTCACCCAGCCTACGCCCAGTTCAAGAAACCAATATCCACAGCACTTTCATGATAATACATGGACTTGAATAGAACAGCAAAAAATCTGAGATGCGTGATGCACATGTTCCCAGTGAAGGTCAAACAAGAGAGAGAAAGGCTGAAGGGGCACAGGGAGAAGGAGAGGGAGAGCATCTAAAGAAGACTTCCCACTGAGCACAGAGCCCAGTGTGGGACTCAATCTCTCGACCCTGAGATCCTGACTTGAGCTCTGCTTCTCAACTGCCAGAGCCAACCAGGTAACCCCAGATTTGTCCTATTTTAAATCAAGTTCCATTTTCTAGCTAAGCGCTCTAGTTGATGAAAGGAAGTGTGAGTGCTCGGGTGACATGGTCTGACAGGAGCAGTACCTGGAGTGAGTCAAACAGAACTGAACCCATTTCCTGGGCATGGTAATAATAATAAAAAGAATATCTTCTTTAACCCAGTGAACTAACTGGGGCAGACTTGAAAGCAGTAAATATTCAGGAAGCCTTAATCTGTCAGCCACCTCAGAAGCAAGGAAACAACTGGCCATTTATAATTGATGACACTGGGTGTGTTTTCATTGGATGCTACTGGAGAAGTCCTAGAACCATAGGACTTATGACTCTCGAGTTACTGGCACTTGAGGCACAGATAAATAGGAAACAATGAAACACTTAATTGAAGTATGAGGTAGATGCTAAGGAAGGTGTGGTGTAGGGTAACGTCCCTCAATGGATTCCAAGAACCTAGAGCTTCTGTTATTTCTCTTCAAAATTAAAATTTTTACTTTTATTTATGAGGTTAGCTAAAAAATCAATATAGTATATGTCAGTGGTACATGACCTAGATTATCCTCTCAATACTAAACGGCCTGGGATTTTAGGAGCCCTGTTTGCCCTGATCACCCAGTAGCCCTATTTGGTGACTGCTATCTACAGAGCAAAAATCTGTGGGACACAGCAAAGGCAGTCCTGAGAGGAAAATATATAGTGATACAAGCTTTTCTCAAGAAACAAGAAAGGTCTCAAATACACGACCTAACCCTACACCTAAAGGAGCTGGAGAAAGAACAACAAAGAAAGCCTAAAGCCAGCAGGAGAAGAGAAATCATAAAGATCAGAGCAGAAATCAATGAAATAGAAACCAAAAAACAATAGAACAAATCAATGAAACTAGGAGCTGGTTCTTTGAAAGAATTAATAAGATTGATAAACCCCTGGCCAGACTTACAAAAAGAAAAGAGAAAGGACCCAAATAAATTAAGTCATGAATGAAAGAGGAGAGATCACAACCAACACCAAAGAAATACAAACAATTATAATAACATACTATGAGCAACTCTACGCCAACAAATTTGACAACCTGGAAGAAATGGATGCATTCCTAGAGACATATAAACTACCACAACTGAACCAGGAAGAAATAGAAAACCTGAACAGACCCATAACCAGTAAGGAGATTGAAATAGTCATCTAAAACCTCCAAACAAACAAAAGCCCAGGGCCAGACGGCTTCCCAGGGGAATTCTACCAAACATTTAAAGAAGACTTAATTCCTATTCTCCTGAAACTGTTCCAAAAAATAGAAATGGAAGGAAAACTTCCAAACTCATTTGATGAGGCCAGCATCACCTTGATCCCCAAACCAGACAAGGATCCCATCAAAAAAGAGAACTACAGACCAATATCCTTGATGAACACAGATGCAAAAATTCTCACCAAAATACTAGCCAATAGGATTCAACAGTACATTAAAAGGATTATTCACCATGACCAAGTGGGATTTATTCCAGGGCTGCAAGGTTGGTTCAACATCCGCAAATCAATCAATGTGATACAACACATTAATAAAAGAAAGAACAAGAACCATATGATACTCTCAATAGATGCTGAAAAAGCATTTGACAAAGTACAGCACCCCTTCCTGATCAAAACTCTTCAAGGTGTAGGGATAGAGGGCACATACCTCAATATTATCAAAGCCATCTATGAAAAACCCACCGCACATATCATTTTCAATGGAGAAAAACTGAAAGCTTTTCTGCTAAGGTCAGGAACACGGCAGGGATGTCCATTATCACAACTGCTATTCAACATAGTACTAGAAGTCCTAGCCTCAGCAATCAGACAACAGAAAGAAATTAAAGGGAGTTGGGGGAAATTGGAAGGGGAGGTCAACCATGAGGGACTATGGACTCTGAAGAACAATTTGAGGGGTTTGAAGTAGCGGGGGGTGGGAGGTTAGGGGAACCAGGTGGTGGGTATTGGAGAGGGCACGGATTGCATGGAGCACTGGATGTGGTGCAAAAACAAGGAATACTGTTATGCTGAAAAAAAAAAAAAAATTATAAAAAAAAAAAAAGGCATCCAAATAGGCAAAGAAGAAGTCAAACTATCACTCTTTGCAGATGATATGATACTATATATGGAAAACCCAAAAAGCTCCACTCCAAAACTGCTAAAACTTGTACAGGAATTTAGTAAAGTGTCAGGATATAAAATCCATGCACAGAAATCAGTTGCATTTCTCTACACCAACAACAAGACAGAAGAAAGAGAAATTAAGGAGTCAATCCCATTTACAATTGCACCCAAAACTATAAGATACCTAGGAATAAACCTAACCAAAGAGGCTAAGAATCTATACTCAGAAAACTATAAAGTACTCATGAAAGAAATTGAGGAAGACACAAAGAAATGGAAAACTGTTCCATTCTCCTACATTAGAAGAACGAATATTGTGAAAATGTCTATGCTACCTTGAGCAATCTACACATTTAATGCAATCCCTATCAAAATCCCACCCATTTTTTTCCAAGAAATGGGATAAATAATCCTAAAATTTATATGGAACCAGAAAAGACCTCGAATAGCCAAAGGAATATTGAAAAAGAAAGCCAAAGTTGGTGGCATCACAATTCCGGACTTCAAGCTCTATTACAAAGCTGTCATCATCAAGACAGTATGGTACTGGCACAAAAACAGACACATAGATCAATGGAACAGAATAGAGGGCCCAGAAATAGACCCTCAACTCTATGGTCAACTAATCTTCCACAGAGCAGGAAAGAATGTCCAATGGAAAAAAGACAGCCTCTTCAACAAATGGTGTTGTGAAAATTGGACAGCCACATGCAGAAAAATGAAATTGGACCATTTCCTTTCACCACACACGAAAATAGACTCAAAATGGATGAAGGACCTCAATGTGAGAAAGGAATCCATCAAAATCCTTGAGGAGAACACAGGCAGCAACCTCTTCGACCTCAGCCGCAGCAACATCTTCCTAGGAACATCGCCAAAGGCAAGGGAAGCAAGGGCAAAAATGAACTATTGGGATTTCATCAAGATCAAAAGCTTTTGCACAGCAAAGGAAACAGTTAACAAAACCAAAAGACAACTGACAGAATGGGAGAAGATATTTGCAAATGACATATCAGATAAAGGGCTAGTGTCCAAAATCTATAAAGAACTTAGCAAACTCAACACCCAAAGAACAAATAATCCAATCAAGAAATGGGCAGAGGACATGAACAGACATTTCTGCAAAGAAGACATCCAGATGGCCAACAGACACATGAAAAAGTGCTCCATATCACTCGGCATAGGGAAATACAAATCAAAACCACAATGACATGTCACCTCACACCAGTCAGAATGGCTAAAATTAACAGGTCAGGAAATGACAGATGCTGGCGAGGATGTGGAGAAAGGGGAACCCTCCTACACTGTTGGTGGGAATGCAAGCTGGTGCAACCACTCTGGAAAACAGCATGGAGGTTCCTCAAAATGTTGAAAATAGAACTACCCTATGACCCAGCAATTGCACTGCTGGGTATTTACCCTAAAGATACAAACGTAGTGATCCGAAGGGGCACGTGCACCTGAATGTTTATAGCAGCAATGTCTACAATAGCCAAACTATGGAAAGAACCTAGATGTCCATCAACAGACGAATGGATAAAGAAGAGGTGGTATATATACACAATGGAATACTATGCAGCCATCAAAAGAAATGAAATCTTGCCATTTGCGATGACGTGGATGGAACTAGAGGGTATCATGCTTAGTGAAATAAGTCAATCGGAGAAAGACAACTATCATATGATCTCCCTGATATGAGGAAGTGGAGATGCAACATGGGAGGCTTGGGGGGTAGGAGAAGAATAAATGAAACAAGATGGGATCAGGATGGAGACAAACCATAAGTGACTCTTAATCTCACAAAACAAACTGATGGTTGCTGGGGGGAGGCTGGTTGGGAGAGGGGGGTGGGGTTATGGACATTGGGGAGGGTATGTGCTATGGTGAGTGCTGTGAAGTGTGTAAACCTGGCGATTCACAGACCTGTACCCCTGGGGATAAAAATACATTATATGTTTATAAAAAAATAAAAAATTAAAAAAAAAAAGAAATAAACTGTCTTAGGGTGCCTGGGTGGCTCAGTGGGTTAAAGCCTCTCCCTTCAGCTCAGGTCATGATCCCAGTGTCCTGGGATTGAGCCCCGCATTGGGCTCTCTGCTCAGCTGGGAGCCTGCTTCCTCCTCTCTCTCTGCCTGATTCTCTGCCTGCTTGTGATCTCCGTCCGTCAAATAAATAAATAAAATCTAAAAAAAGAAAAGAAAAAAAAAAAGAAATAAACTGTCTTTATATTATACCTGCCTAACAATAAACACCTCTGGTCTATAGATAATCTTAACTCCACCTTGCCTTTTCCAGATCTAGAATATTCTCTTCTCCAAGTTTACCACAAATACTTCCAATCTTATTAATTCTTCTGTTGGATTATTCATTATTTATTTACCTGTATCTTTAGGATATAACTTCCTTCTCTTAGAATATTAACTAGTTTATAGCATTTTCACATTAAAAAAAATACAACATAATTATATATATGCTTATTTGACCACAGATCTCCGGGGTCCAGCCTCGGCATGTCCAGGTGTCCCTGAAGGAAGGGTGGCATCGGTGAGAGAAATGAGAGAGCCACACAGTGAGTTTTGGTCAGCAGTCAGGCATCTCCAGTTTATCACCATTCAATGAGCTTCTTATATAAGCAGTTTATTTGTGATAGAGGGCTACATTCGTGCAAAGGACATCAAAAGACTCAAGCACTCATCAGACAATTTCTCTTTGTTCAGCACATGTTATTCTAGTTAAGCTATAATGGTACAGACTGGCACCAGGGATGGGGGACAGGGTCTTGCTTCTTGAGTAATCAAGTCCCTCAGAAAGCCATGGGAGGTAGCACAGAAACGTGCTTTTTGGTAACTTATTCTGGGGTCCACAGGAAAAAAGGATATAGGTTAATGGAAAGTGAGAAGCTTTAGGGATAAACTAGATAGTATGGAACTGCAGGAAAACAGGATACAGGTTAATAGAAAACGGGAAGGTATCTGGAGAAACTAAGTATATAGGAGAGAAGTAGGAACGAGAAGGAATTACCTTTGCAGGAGGCAGGGTGTATATCAATGGCTCAGCTGTGAAAGCCTTGGACAAACATCAGCCTAGGGAGGAAACCGTCTACTGCGGTACACATCTAAAGTTCTCCATTGTCCTAGGTACAGAATAATTTACCTCCTTGGAGTTGCTCCGGTCCTTAAGACTGAGAGATGTTTGCGGCAGATGAGCAAGGGGCTCTTAATCTGAGAGAGATACGGGAATCAGAGAAAAAGGCAAGAGGCAGACCATGCTTATCTGTGGGTCTGTCCAGCCTGCATCAGTTCAAACCTTAACCTAGTGGGGCAATGCCCTTGACCAGTCCTCATGGCTCCCAACAACAGATATTACCATTTATATGGATAATGGTAATAGTACCATATCATTCAGGATGAAATGTGTGTACCATCTGGTACCTTATTGATCTACAATTTCTCTTACTTATTTAAATAAGTAATACTTATTTTTATGGAAGTATAATTAGCATATGGTAAAGGCAAAGATACCTGAGTATAGTTTAGTGAGTTTTGAAGTGAATCCTCCTGCATTATCCAGGTTCTAGTCAAGAAATAGAAGGTGTTATCATTTGAGAAAATTCCTTTGTGTGTGTGTTTTACCATCAATCCTCTCTCCCCTCCACAAAGGAAATCCCTGTTCAGTTTTCTCTCCATAAATTAGTTTGCCTTTTCTAGAACTTCCCATAAATGTTACTATATAATCACACATCTTTAGCTCAAAGTTATGTTTTTGATGTTGCCTGTTTTGTTGCATGTGTCAGTAATTGGTTCCCTGTTGTTGCTGCGTAGCGGTCTGCTATCCTCTACCTAGCTATCATCTATCGATTGATCAGTTATCTGTCGTCTATATATAATTTTGTTCATGATTATTGGTGGAGCATTTCAGTGTTGAATTTGAAAGTAACTTTATTCCTTAACTACTTGGCTACATGACATCTCTTATTTTCAAGTCCTATCTTTTAATCTGTAAAATTATTATAATATTCCCAAAAGGCATAAAATACAGACTTGTTTAACCAGGCCTCAATAAATGCATATGTTTTACATGTTCTTTTTTTTTTCTCTAAGATTTTATTTACTTATTTGACAGAAATCACAAGTAGGAGAGAGGCAGGCAGAGAGAGAGGAAGGGAAGCAGGTACCCTGCTGAGCAGAGAGCCTGTTGTGGGGCTTGATTCCAGGACCCTGAGATCATGACCTGAGCCGAAGGCCAAGGCTTAACCCACTGAGCCACCCAGGCGCCCCTGTTTTACATGTTCTTTTGTGATCCTCAGTTCCCATCTTTAACACCTGTTATTTGATTTTTGTTTTTACTATAGGTCCAGTCCTAGAACTCTGGCTTCTATCACGTCTTGTTAACAGGCTAACATTTAATGAAATTGTGAGCCTGGTCTTATGTCAAGATCTTGGTTGGCACAGTCCTCACACCCTCTGTCTTTCACCATTTCTCAATGCCAAATATTGCCAAGGCAGTGAAATCTCAATCATATATGGTGTCTTTCCCAGCCATGAAGAAGAGAGGGATGGGGAGACAGAGCAGAGGGCTACACATCTCCAAAGGAGCACCAGTGGAAGTTTCACTATCCTAGAAGGGCATGTTTTCAGAGTATAGGAGAAGGCAAACCATTTTGACTTATTGAGCCTGTGTTTGCAGAGACAGTGACTGGATGGTATCATGTTTAGGGGGTAGGTACCCCTGGAAGAAGAAGAGAGAAATTTGATTAAATGAGCACAGCACAGATGGGGGAATCTGTGGGGATTCTAGAGTTTTAGAGGTGAGTCAGAAGTAATGAATACCCCTACTTGCTCCATCCATTCACTATCCTATTTCCACTCTCTTCAGAGTCATCTTATCCTCTTTCATTTATCGGAAGGAACTGGCAGGAATAGGAGGGAGAGAGGTATGTAGCAGGTGTCCCTGTGGTTGCCAAAGGATTAGCTCCTGATAGCAAGAAATGGAACCACATCCATTCACTCTGTGTCTTCTTCATTGGAGGCAATTTCAGGTCTGGGTATTCAGAAAGCGCTCAAGTGTTTGAAGTATTCTCTCTCAGTGTCTCCAGGTCTTTGTTTTTCCTTCAATTTTTGTGTCAGTGTCAAGGTAATAATAATTGTAAAACAGCTCTTACCAATTGTGAATACTGTTACCAAGCACAGTGATCAGTTTCTAACTCCCTTACACATCAAACTATGTGAATATTATTAGTTTCCTTAATTTGCAGATAAAGAGACAGAGACTTTACAGTATTGAATAACTTGCTTAAGGTAGATCAGCTTTTAGGTAGCAGAGTTAATATTCATACTCATATTTGTATGATTTCAAAGGCTATGAGCTGAAATCTTTTGCTGTATATATAAATCTGTGTCTCTCTCAATTTATTGTCAGTTGACTTATTTTCTCAAACATATTTTTAGCAACTTTCTCATTCTGTGTGTCCCTATAACTCTTCTATATGGGTCTCAGAGATTTTTCATATTCTGATCTAAATTTTCACGATCGTGGATGCTACCCTCTTCCTCACTTTCATAACCCTCTCTCTCTTTCGCTTCTGGAGGAAGATAATATATGCCTGTGACTAGTAAAGAAATTATTCTATATGTAAAGCTGTAATAAATTGTCCCTATGTCTCCTATTTCTTGAGGTTTTCCCCCCTCCATTTTTAAATAATAATGTCCCCTATAACCCGAGATATACCACTATTTCCTCTGATGGTGCTGAGCCAGGTATCCTGAGGGCCATCAGGTGTGAAGTGAATGGGAAGATAAATCCCATGGCTGTTGTCATCACCCTGCCAGGCTGACCACTCGGCCTTCGGCTCAGGAAAGACAATGACAACACTAACCAGTGCAAAGAAATGGCAACTCGAAGCATGAGTCAGTGGATGTAGCCGACATGGCTATAAAGTCTCCATGATCAATGTTAGGTACATGAGTTCAGGCAGGGGGAGAAACGAGCATTTGCCATGTAGCCTGCCATAAAAAGGTTACTGTTTTCCTGCCATGGTGCCTGGCCTTCCCAGAGCCCCCTGCTGCAGACCTTAAAGGACTGGACTTTACTAAGGTTAGTGTGCCAATTAGACCATGTTGTCACACTATGACTACTGTGGGCTATTCTTCTGCTATGTGATACATCCATAGATATAGAGTTACCTCATGGCACAGAAATGAATATATTAGTATTACATATTAAATCATTTTTCATTTTCTTCAGGCTCAAAGGTTTTTTTCTTCTGATTTTAGAAGTAATGAAACCATTTCTGGGCCCCTAAAAGTACTGTGCTAATGGTGCCTAGTGAATAATTCACTGCAGTGCTTCCCTCCCCCACTCTTAGCCTTCTGGAAGGGCATAGGATGAACACTCAGGGTTGGCATCTCTAGTCTGGCAGGTGATAAGCAATCAGGGGAAATAATTTAAATGGACTAATAAATATGTCCTTCCTGTGGATGGAGAAACCTCTCAAACTGCCTACTCCACACTTTCAAATTCCTCAAGAAATTGTGAATTTGTTCCAGACTTTTTAGGCATCCAAAATAACTGAAACTGGTGTTAATTGTGTACTTTGTAAATACTCAGGGACTGGGTAAAATTTCCTGCTCATACTTAGCCCAGAAAAATATGCTATATCATATGCCTCTGAGTGCCCAGACAAGTCCACAATAAAATAAAGGCATAAGCATGTAATTTTATACAAACTGTAAAAATGAATCATGAGTTTCTATCAAGTACTATCATAAGAACTGTGGTGTAGGCCTAGTTATGATAGGATAAATACTGCCCTTAAAGTACTAGAGTTCAAACATAGATACAGATACAGCCCAACTATAATATAAGGTGCACTTTCCCCCCCAGGAGCTGAAATTCAGTATCAGATGGTAAGAAATTTAATGGAGACAGGGAGTAGCTAATAAATAAATAAATAAAAAATTAAAAATTATTTTAATGGAATAGAATGAATAAATGCAAATGAACTGGGTATGCAGAAATGACCAAATTTTATGTCATGGGAGTCGTAGATTCTGTCCTGACTGAGAACACCTCAATCTTCAATCAGTAAGAAAGACAAGACACCAACTTCTCTGGGCAAGTGTGACCTAATACCTTATGACCTTTATTCTTGGGCCTCTCTATCCTGACACTGGATGCTTTATTTTGGGAGAATATTTAACAGGCTATCCAGGTCAGTTTTATTTTATTGTCTCCCCGCGACAGGAAAATGAGGGATAATTTTCATCCTTCAGCTGAGAACAGGAATTTTAGGAAGGTCAGATACACAAAGCCCCATCCTTCCCAGAACCTCAAATGAGGCTCTGCCCTAGGTTGCTGGTGGTGCAAGTCTGTCCTTATCCTCTCTTATTATTTATCCCTTCCTTGTCTTTCACTCAGGACTATTTCCATCAGATTTTCCAGACCAAGAAAGAGTCACTACTCTTCACCCAGACAGAAAAGATACAGTGCCTGCCACCATTTCATCTGAATGAGACAGACCTACAGAATGGGCATATGCTGACTGTGCCACACAAGCCCCACTGTGGAGTAAATGAGTAACTGCTTTCTTAGGAAGTTCTAAAGGGAAGAGGCACACTCTGACCTACAGATGTTTGTTGTTAAGGCCGGTAGTGATAGGTGCCTCCGGGAGGCACTTCTACTGACTTCTACTTAGTTAAATCTTTTTTTTTTTTTTTTTTTAATGTGTTGTAGTGGTGTTGGTGGTGGTGGGGTGTCTATAGGAGACACCCTGGCTAGGCTACTCTCTCTATGGGGGGATCCAAAGCATATTAGAGACATCTGAAGCCAAGCAATACTAATCTATATAGAAAGCTGCACATTTTTCAACTGAGTCCACATTGTTTATTTTTTTATAATTATTTTGTTAGGGCCATGGTTTCCAGATTTTAGTTTACATAAGAAGGTGGGGAATTTGATAAAATTCTCAGAAATCTAACAAATGTCTAAATTCTTAGGAATCTATATTTTGCAGGTTTAATTCTTTGGGAATTTAATTTACAGATGAGCAAAATGAGGACCCCAAATATTAAGTGATTTGCCCCAAAGTAGACTTGGTCTTTTTTACATGTAGGATAATTCCCATACCTCTGAGCTATTCCACCTAAAGATTTCTTCTTTCAGGATTATCAATTACCCAAGAGATATAAGCCAATCCACGGTGAAAGATATTAAGCAAGATGCATTTTCCATCTGGAGCAATGAGACCCCCTTGATTTTCCAACAAGTGAAAAATCAAGATGCAGACATCAAGGTTTCTTTCTGGAACTTAGGTAAGAAACTGACATGGGAGGGAGGGCATGTTGTCCCATGTAAAGGACAAATGGTTTCAATCCATAAACAAAAACCCAGTCCATCAGTCCAGCTTTTGAAAAAAAATCAGACAAAGCTAATGGAAATTGATAAATCTATAACACAGAGAAGACATCTTCAGTCTAATGTAGCAGGAGATAGGGGAGGAGATGCACTGTGCAGTGAATAGAGTGAAGGATGGGGACTACACATTTGCCTGTCAAAAGGCAGTTGTGTAGCCCTTAAATCTGTTGAAATGCTATTCAAAGTTAATCCAACATATTTATAAAACACTGCGGTGTTGGGGCGCCTGGGTGGCTCAGTGGGTTAAGCCTCTGCCTTCGGCTCAGATCATGATCCCGGGGTCCTGAGATCGAGCCCCACGTCTCTGCTTAGTAGGGAGCCTGCTTCCTCCTCTCTCTCTCCCTGCCTCTCTGTCTGCTTGTGATCTCTGTCTGTCAAATAAATAAATAAAATCTTTAAAAACAAAACAAAACAAAACAAAAACACTGCAGTGTCTAAGTTTCCTTCTCCATTTTCCTTCCGTTTTGGGAAGTTTTTTTGTCTAACGTATAACCTTCACTCAATCTCTGCCATCTTTTCTTCTTTTACCACAGAAGATAAGACATGGCTAGATTTTTGGTGCCACCCCATTCCTCTGCATAGATGGTGCCTTAACCCTCTCACACCTCTAGTGTTATCCAGTTGCATGGTACTCCAAGTCACTGAGGCTTACTAGGATCATTTCTGTCCTTTCCCTGATCCCCCATTGTGACAATAACTTCTGTCATTGTCCACGGCCCATGGAGATTGTTGGCCCTTTGATGGACCAGATGGTGTCTTAGGTCATGCTTTTTTACCAAATTCTGGAGCTCCAGGAGTTATCCACTTTGACAGAGGAGAACATTGGTCAACTTCAGACAGAAGTAAAGACCTACCTGGTAGGAATGCTAGAACTCTGGGAGCACAGGTGTTGGTAATGATGGTCTTCACCTGGGCTTAGAATGCAGTGAGGAGAGTAAAGTGAAGGACTTAGTGTCAGGGTGAGGTGGGAAGGTTTGGTTGAGGAACTGGGTCTCCTATTTGAGTGGAAGCAGTTGGGATCATTTCTGAACAAAGATGCTCCTATCATGAACACATTGTCACATTTTCTTTTCTCTGTTATGACTTTGTTTCCATTTATTGTTGTCTCAATTTTCTCCGTGCTTCTCGTTCACTTCCAGTTTATCTGTCCATCTATTCTGCCATTCTGTTTCCCACTAGATTCCTTCCCTCTCTGCTTGCCTTTATCTTGCTCTCTAATATTTGTTATTTCTTCCTTTTTTGTTCTTTTTTCCTCCCTTCTTTTTCTGCCTTCTTTATGCATAGTTAATATGTATACATTTGTCTGTACCTTTTCAGGATTTAGTTTGTTCCTTGTTGCTATTCATGAGCTTGGCCATTCTCAGGGCCTGCTGCTCTCCAAGAGTCTGAACTCCATAATGTACCCCAGATATGTGAATTGGGACCCTACAACCTTCCATCTTGATGGTGATGATATCAAAATAATCCAGCAACCCTATGGTCTGTGCCTGCTGGAAGGGAGGATATCTAGACAGGAAATTCCACTTGGAGTTTACTGTTTTCTTCTGTCTTCATAAGGAGAAAGATGGTCATCTGAAATACCCCAAAGTTAACACAGAAGAATCATTCAACCTGGGTTTTAGTGGCTTCACTGGAAGATCAAAGAATTCAAGACCTTAACACAGCATTGGGGACTGCTTGAAGTAACCCCTAAAGAATGGATTCTATTTAAGGCAGCTGAGTCAAAGCTCAAAATAATTCTGGGTCCCAATAAAGATGGTTTTCAAGAGTAAAAATTTGTTCTTACAATTTGGTATATCTCAGCATTTCATATATTCCGTCACTGTAATCAAGGCAAGAGAGAAGAGTATTTTAGAATGGAAAACTCTAACAGATATGGCCTTAGAAGTCTCAAATTAGCTGAAATGTAAGAAAAAAATAAGAATAGGAATAAGTCTTTCATATGTAATTACATGGGTAGCATTTGAGGAATGTTGTTTATACTGTATTGAAGATTACAGCTATAGAGACCAAGTGTTAGGATGGTGGCCTATCCACTTATTAGCTCTGAAAGTTTCAGTAAATATATTTAACCTCCTTATAACTCAGTTTTTAAAATTTCTTCAAATTTCTTTAATTTCTCTAAATTTATTTAAATAAACTTTAAATTTCTTGTCCTAAGAATGAAACTGATATGAGAGAGACTAAAGGAGAAAGAAAACAGATTAATTACATGCACGTGGAGATGCAATGATAAAGTTGAGACCCAAAGAAATGACCAAAGTAGGTAGCTTTCATGCTTTCTAGACAAAGTACCTACACTTTACATCCCAAATTCTCTTAATATTTACTTTTGAGAACCGAACTTCAGACAATTAACTTTTTGAAAGATCACTGAAATTATCTGTGGTATGACTGGCAAGTGTAAAAGAGACAATGCATATAAAACCAACATCAGTAATGAAAAAAGGCAATATTTTGACACTCCTGAAGACATTGAAAAATCATAAAGATGTGTAATGAGTAATCTCTAGTTAATAAATATCAAAATACATACCTAAAATATACATTCTTAAACATAGCTTATAAAAACAGGCAAAGGGAGAATTAGAAAATCCAAGTAGCCCTACAAATGCTTAAAAATATAATCTATAATTATATTTCTTCACAAGTATTTTCAAAACTGAAAAGAAGAAAATCTGAACTGTCTTTTAACTATTATCTATCAAAACTATACATAAAAACAACCCCTGGATAGCCATTTAATAAAGACATCATGCCAACCATATGCAAAATATTCCAGTAGGAAAAAAAATTTTCTTAGGTTATTTTCATGAAAACATGAAAGGTTATTTTCAGTAGAACATGACAAAAACATTATAAATAAGGAAAATTTCAGGGTACTCTCACTGATGAACATAGATGTGAAGATCCTGAACAAAATATTAACAAATTAAACCTGCTAATAAATAAGGGAAGGTCAGGTAACATGTCCAAGTTGGGTTTGTTCCAGAAATGTAAAGGTGATATTTGAAAATCAATCAATATAATTAATCACTTTAACAGGATAATGAAGGAAAATCATATGAATCATAAAAATCACAAATCTCAATGGACACAAAATAACTTTATGAAATTCAACATCTATTCTGGGTAAAATATTTGATCAAATAAACAAGAGAAAGTAACATGTTCTCTGATAAAAGTGTTACAAAAAAAATCCTAGCAAACATACATTAATAAGGAAATGGTGAGCACATTACCTGTGAGAGCAACAAAGGGAAAATAACACTTTCATCACTTCTGCTCAACACTGCACCAGGGGTCTTAACCAGTGCACAGAATCAATTGTAGTGTAAACCCTGACAGTTGGTTTCTCTTTTTTGTGATACAAGTACCTGACTTAAGCTTTGATTAAGCCTCCACTTTAAAGAGGCATTCATTTCAAAGATGACTATTTCAGGTAAACACTTTGCCAGCCACACAACTAGATAGAGAACAAGGTCACCTAAACCAATGCCCTCCCTCCCCACTCCCTCTGAGGCTCGTTAGTTGACTGACCATTTGGGCCACGTGCTTTTTGTCTTTTCTCTCTTTAAATTCCAGCTCTTAAATTTTAAATTCACCAATAAATTATCATATGATTTCACTCATATGTGGAATTGAAGAAACAAAACAGATGAACATAGGGGAAGGGAGGGAAAAAATAAGATGAAATCAGAGAGTGAGACAAACTATAAGAGATGCTTAACTCTATGAAATAAACTGGGGGTTGCTGGAGGGGAGGTGGGTGGGAGATGGGGTAACTGGGTGATGGGCATTAAGGAAGGCACTCGATATAATGAGCACCAGGTGTTATATACAACTGATGAATCACTAAATTCTACCCCTGAAAATAATACTACACAATATGTTAATTAATTGAATTTAAATTTTAAGAAGTCACCAATAAAGAGTGAGCCCAAGAAACTCTAGTCCAATAGGAGAAGAACCCTGGGCCCCTGTGCAGAAGTGGGCTCTTTCCCTTCCCCCAACCTCCACCCCACACCTTGCTATGTTGCCCCAGGTGTGCCATGTAATTTCCTGGTCCTGTAAGTAATAAACCTTTTATTTTTTCCCTCAAAGATAGCTAATAGTTCTTGCCAAAGACATCTTGCAGTCATTATATATATGTCTATACATATATGTATAGACATATATACATATACATATACATATACTATATATACATATATACATATATACAGACACACACACACATATATATGTCAGAACCAAAGATTTAGAAAAAGATAATTTATAAGTGCCATTCATATTAGCATAAATTATTATCAAATAGCTAGGAATAAATATAATGTAAGATATATAATAGTTCTTATTTTAGAAGCATAAAACAATACTGAGAAAAAATAAAGACCTTAATTAATTGAGGTCTGTGTTCTCAGATTGGAAGACCTGGTAACCTAAAACTTTCAATTCTCCTAAAACAGAGCTATGGATTTGATATATTCACAATGAAAGTCCCAATATAGATCTTAGTGGATGGAAATTGATAAGCTGTCTATAAAATTCATAAGGAAGTGCAAAGAGGTGGATTGTCAGGTATAAGCTAAAAAAATAATGTATTAAGAAGTCATGTTCCGTACTAAGCACAGTGGAAGTTAGTGATGAACTAGATAATTATTTTGCCTTTACAGAAGTTAGTACGGAGACTTGAATCCTGTTGTTGCTTAATAAATGATTATTAAATACATAACCCTATGAACATCCTGTTCAGTGAGAAGTTGTAAGTACCTTGTAACAGAAGGGCTCTCTGCACTTAATTACCACAGTTCTATATAGATGTCCCTAATGAAGCTGAAGTTTCAATATCCCTCTGGGATGGAGTAGTTATTCTTTGATTATCAAATGTTCATTCAAGGAAAGAAAACTGTTACATTTGAAAGTAAGGACGGGGAGTGGTGGAGAGAGAAGGAGGGAGCCATTTTTACAATTTCCAGTATCATAATTATATGCTCTTGCAACAGCTGTGCTGAAAGGTTGTTTATATTAATTTCATCTCTGAGGACCCATCGGACTCTGACACCAACCCTACTTTTCTATCCTGGGAGAAACCAGGAGTATTTATAGAGAAGTAAAAGTATTCAAGCCTCACTATTCATGGAATCAAAGGTTTTCAGGACCTGAGGTTCATGGATAATCACAATAGTAGCATCTGTAACCAGTATATAAGTGACTTTCAGATAGAGAAGGGAGTTCTTCTCAGGTGAGGGCTAAACTGAAACAGAACTAAAAGCAGAGAAATGAGAAGACAGGGGCAATAAAAGGACTGGAAAAAGATAGTTACACTTGTTTTTTTCCTAAATTTGTGAAAGGACACAGATTTAGGTGGAATAAAATACAAGAAAATGGCAGCAGGGGGCAGATTAAGAAGGATAAAGATGTTTAGAAAGTAAACTAAGTGGCAGAGAGAGAGAAAGCCCCAGAGACAGAAACAGAAAGAGAATATGATTTTACCTCCAACGGAAGAAGGTTTAGGCAGAGAAAGACACAAGGAAACTGGATCCTTTGGGAAAATGGCTCCTGGTTATGTGATTAAGCATTCACAGTGATGTGAGTATCTTATAAATTCAGGTAAGTGTAATTTTTAAATTACAAATAAACAGCAGATAGATTTTGGCACAATCTGTGTTATTATACAAAGGCCAAAGAGAGTAAAATCATTCAGACAATGCACAATTTATGCAGGAGGGGAAAGTGAGTGTCATTTTCTTTAGAACAAGTTGAGAAACAATATGAAATGTATGACCTATCATAATGTCTTTTTCCAACAATTTTAATATAGGCTAGTCAGTGGGGAGAAGGGATTTTTTGAGAACCACAGCAAGACCCCAGAGAGGCTGTGTAAAATGGTGTCCTCACCCTCAGCGGCTCTCCCTTAATTGGAATAGGTAAGTGTGCGATGTGAGTCTTTTCATGCTCTGCCCTTGAAATGCCTTGAAATCAGTCTCAGCCTCTTTCGACTATTTCTTTCTCAGTTTACCATGACTAAGTTGTGTTAAAATAAGTCAAGAACCACAATGAATCATTGTGAATGACATAGACATAGAGTCATAAAAAAATGAACCGAGAAAGGACAATCATAGAGGGACTGAGAAAGAGTGAAAGACATGACAGCTACTTGGTGAGAGAGAAAGACAAGAAAGAGCACAAATGTCTGAGCTTTAAATCTATGCACAGGTCTGCAACTGAAGGTTTCTAAACCTTGCAATCTGAATTTAGAGGGCTCAGATCAGGGAGAAAACCATTTCTAAATACCAGTGATCCACTTTATTTTCTGCAACTTCTCTGAGAATTAAAGAAAATGTGACTTATATCAAAGTTGAAAGAGAACGCATAGAATGATTTCCTGGCATGGAATAAACTACTTACCGTTTGTGGCCACAATACAATCTCTTTGTGTGGGTGTGTGGGTGTGTGTGTGTGCACACACATGCCCATGTGTGCTGTATACTTCAATGTTAATGTCTAGAGTATTTTCACGAGCTGAGCTTTAGAACAGAAATTAGAAGAAATATTTCTGAGTGAGGAGGAAGAAAAAAGAAAGGCAGTA